TAATTTTTAAAATTCATACATAAATATATTATCTGTTTATATCATTTATATTAATTTTATTTATATTTATTAATAATAAGGTTTTACTGCTCTTGGTGGTTATCAAAATATTTTATTATTAGGACACATTTGATCCTAAAATCATTACTAGCACTGTTAGTGAACCAACCACCACCAGTGTTGATATGCTAAGTATAATTATTGGATCAGTTATATCTGGTGCAATCTTCATCATTGCTTTTATTTCTATTCTGATTTTATATAGAAGAAAAAAGAAACTCAATGAAATGGTTAATAATGTTGTTAATGGTGATGAAGAAGACAGAGAATTAAATCAACAAGCTCATAATGAAAATGAAAATAAAAATAAAAATACTAGTAATATTGAAATCATTTCAAACAATGATGATAACACCAACAGCAATAGTAATGCTAAAGCTATAGTAGATACTAGTCATAAAAACATCCTTGATAATGATAATATTAAAATTTTGAAAAATAATAATAGTAATAATGATAATGATAATGATAATATTCAGAATGACCAGTTAATTACAATTAATGACAACAATAATATAGATGCTGGTCACAATTCTTGGTGATGGTTGCAACCATATTTGCGACATATAAAAATGGTTTGTGACACCTGGTTGCAACCACTTTGTGACCACTTTGGTTTCCTTTTTTGGATTGCGACATGGAACACTAAACAATAATCAGATTTCTGTATCCAATTCCAATAGCTCTAAAATAATCAATGAAAAAAAAGTAATTGTTGATAAACCTAAGGATAGTTGATTAGAATGGCTCAATGAGGCAATTCAGAATGAACACATTAATTTTTATAAATATAGTGACTTTAAAAATACCCAAAAAATTGGTTCAGGTGGTTCTGGAAAAGTTTATAAAGCAATATATAACAATAGTAGTACTTTTGCCTTGAAATCCTATAAACATGATACAACACATATGAAAGAAGTTACTAATGAGGTAAATTTCAATATATTTTTGGTTATAGATTATAAAAAAAATTTCAACTAACAATAATAATTGATCCAATTAGTTGAAATTATTATGTAAAGTTCATTACCATCATAATATTATTCATTTTTATGGTGTCACTAATATTGAAGGTATGTTTAAATTGTTTTCTGTTTTGACTTTCTTCCATTAACTAATATTTATATTTATATATAAAGACAAAGAGAAATATTTATTGGTCCTTGAGTATGCAGATAGTGGAACACTAAGAAGCTACCTACAAGAAAAGGTTGAATCAATCAGTTGGGATCTAAAGCTGAAATTTGCATCTGAGATTGCATCAGCTGTTTCATGTTTACATAAAAACAACATTATCCATCAAGATTTGGTAACTAAATAACTACATATTATATACATAAATTTATTATTTTAAAAAAAATTTATATTTAATAATGTTTATCTTTTTTGAAAAGCATTCAAATAATTTCTTGGTTCACCAAAAAACAATAAAATTGGCTGATTTTGGACTTTCCCGTAAAATACATGAATCTACAACCTCTTCAACATTCAAAATGGCAGGGATAGTACCTTATATTGACCCACAATGTTTCAAGGACAACAATAATAAAGTATATAGACCAAATAAAAAATCAGATGTATATAGTGTGGGTGTTTTATTATGGGAATTGACTAGTAACCGACCACCTTTTAGTAATCTGGATCAACATCAACAACATACTTTATCACTTCATATTTCTAAAGGAACTCGTGAAGAACCTATTCCTAATACACTTGATGAATACATTAATTTGTACAAAGGTAAAATATATATATATATTTATATGCATTAATTATTGTTAATCATTTACTTGTGTTTAGCATGTTGGCAGGATGACCCAAAAGACAGACCTGATATTCAATATGTTGAAACAATGCTTGGAAAAATTTCAGGCTCAAATATGGTTGATATAGTTGATAATGGGGAAAATAATGAGCAACAAAAAAATGAAGGCAGTAGTTCTTTTGGGTGTCCCAGTAATAATTCAACAGGGCCTAGTATTGGTTTACTGCAAATTTGATAAAGTCTTGGATTTTTAGAGTAGTCAGGACCCTACAACTTCATTAATATCAACAATGTAATGGTAAATATATATATTGCGATATTATGTGTATTATATTCATACTTTCATTTCTTATTTATATTTGTATTATTATTTATATAGTGCAACCTTTAATTAGACCCCTCCTGAATTGAGACATATCAACTGTTACACAATTCTTTTTAAAAATTGCAAACCACTCATTAAGCATTTGAATAGATATTTTATACTTGATATATACACATAAAACTAATTCTAATGCTAACAAATAAATATTGATTCTTTAGAAAAATCAGTTCAAACTGGTCAAAATCGATTTTTACTAATTGAAGTGACAAATCTTCACAAGTTCAATTTCAACTAAATCAAATTGAGTTAAAATTTTATAAACTACATTATATTATGTCTCAATTGTTTTAGAATGAACAATGAGTTACACTTATGAGGTGGGAGAAAGACACTAAATAACAATCTTCCCAAATTTTACAAGTATACTCTTTTTTTTCACTTCAACATTCCCTGATCCACCCTGTCTGATTCATTTGAAGTAACAAATTTTATTCTTTGATTGCAAGTCATTACTAAAATACCGTTGGTTTGCAAAATAGAAAAAGATGGCTTTAAGTGGCAAAATATTTCAGAACAAGAAAAGTCTTAACTATTAAGGAATTATGAATTAAATATAAGTGAAAAAATATGTTCTAAATGTTATAATTCTTAAATAACATACTGATAGAAAGCCTGAAGATGCATCATATAAAATAATAAAACCAATTGAAATGGAAGCAAATATGATTTTAGTTTACTGAAGTTACAAAATCCCAATCAATATAATTATCATTATTTTGTTTTTTAATATAAATTAAATTAATTTTAGATGGTATACAATTTTTATTCCTTGGTTTTATACAAGTATCAATATCGTGAAAAAAAATGGTAATGATCCTGATGAATTTGTAAAAATGATCAAATTGCCTTTAAAATAATTATTAATGAATTTTATAATGAATTCAATCTTTTAAAACAAATGTTATTATTATTAAAGTAAGATCAGTATAAGGCTGAATAGTGTAGCGTGCGATGATTCACAGTGTATATTAATTAATATAATAAAATCAGTACCAGTTGGCTCTCGAAAATATGTTTATGGAAAAACATATTTGAGATGAAAACCAACTCACATTCATTGATCTGATAAAAGGAATTATACCAAAGACCTTTAAAATCTTATGTAATGTCATGGTAAATATGAATGATTTAACCAAAGAAAAAATATGGGAAAACACGTTGTCAGGAGGTTTTAAATACAGAAATACGTTTGGTATTAACGAATATATTAGTATGAAAAGCAATAAAAGTAAAATCATAATTATAATAATAATAGTACTAGAAATCATAATAATAATAACAATATTAACAAAAATGTTAGTATAAAAGATAATGGGAATCACGGATAACAAATAATAATAGATTTGGTGTCGTCTAAGAAAAAAATAGGGATTTAATAATATGGAGTGATGAATCACGGTTTGAAATATTTCAAAGTGATTCTCATCATCATGTGTGGCGTAGACCTCAAGAAAAGTATGTCATTGACTGTTTAATTCCAGCAGCAAAACATGGCGGTGATGGAGTTATGGTATGGGTTGTTTTGTAAATGGCAAACTTGGACCCGTTAGTTGAAGTTGATGGTCGTATTACTGGTTCAAAATATATGGAGAGAATTTAATTCCTTTTTAGATAGTTTAGATGGTCAATTGACATATTCCTTCCAGGACGATAATGCCCCCGCACACACAGCAAATGATACAATTAAATGGAGGGATGAACATTCAATTTCATATATTCAATGGCCTGCACAAAGTCCCGACCTTAATCCCATTGAACATTTGTGGGATGTTTTAGAAAGAAAACTTCGAGAAAGGATACCACATCCTAAAAATAAAAAAAGATTTGATTGTTGCATTGAAAGAGGAATGGGTAAAAATTGAACCCGAAGTAATAAAGAATTTAGTTGTTAGTATGTTGAGGAGAGTGATAGCTGTCATAGATAGTCATGGCAATCCAACAAGATACTGACTGACTTGCTTTTGCTAAACGTTTTATTTATTTTTATTACATAAAATATTTAATAAAAGTCAACAGAATACAGATTCTTGAGCTTTTACGTTTTGTTGTCTATACTAGACCAATTTTTCTCGAGATATTTTAAGTGACTTACTTAATGACATAATCTAGGTTTTAACGAAGTTTTGAACTGTTTTGCTCAAAGTTTTCATAAAAATCTTTTGTCTAATTTAAAATTCTCATCCTAAGTTCATTAATAATGCGAATTCAACAAAACTTTAAATTTATATTCAACTTTAAAAACATGTTTACTTAATGCACCAGTTCCGGTTTGGTTAATAAAATTTTGACTGCGTGAGGCACAAGTTTCCCAATTATTAAAATGATCATCAGGTGGTCGGATATTTATGATAGATGAGTGTACAGTACTCAACCTGTATATACCTGCGAAATTTGCTGATTATCGTTAAATAATAAATAACAAATAAATATTTTGAGGATCTCCCTTTTCCCAATAATCTTTTTTTAATTTAAGTAAAAGCATTTAAAATAGTAGTAAAGGTAAAGATTATCCAGTTTCTCTAGTTCTGGTTGGCTCTTTAAAAGAGGATTTACATTTTGACAACTTTCTCAGAAAAATAGATTTTAGTATAATCGATTAAACATCCTATCCCCACCTTTATAATTATATCTATTCCTAAGTATTCGTTCATTATATTATATTAGTTATTTTTTCCTGGTCTGTAATTAACCCTCGAAATAACTGTTGTTGTCAGTAGTTTAATTTCATCTGAATCCTATATACTTGGAAAGCCCTTCACATAGTTTGTGAAATATTTCTGACCTAAAATCTTAATATTCTAAATCCTTAATCATTGCATTTTTTGAAACTGGGGAAATTTTACCAAGGAATACACCAAAAAATTTTAATGCAGTGCCTGAGTTGTAAAGATCACTCACTCTACTTGATTCTTCCAACAAAAAAGTCTAACGTGGTATAATGTGTTTGAATTTAGACTACGTAGGATTACGCAATAAAAATTATGTAATAGAATTTGTCCAATGAAATGTTGTAAACTGTATATATCCCATGCACAACTTGAAAAAAGTTGGTATATAAGACTCATTTTCCATTACCAGTAAGTCGGACACAAGTGGCTGTGTATGGTTGTCTGACTTATTAAGAGATCCAACTTATTGAAATATGCAATTTTACAAAAAAAATTGAAAATTGTGTTTAAATCATTTTTTTATTGAGAAAAATTATAAAACAGAAGATAAAAACAAAAAAATTGCACTATTCTTTATCTAAATAAATATCCATACTAGTTTGTATTAAAGAATTATTTTGTTTTCTGTCAATTTTCCATTTTAAATCTTTTAATTCTGGAACAAATAAATTATTATTCACAAAGATAAATTTTTAGAATAATTGAAATTATTATTGGATCATTTCATCAAAGATTTATAAAAATCACGTGAACCAACTTATCAAGAGTCATTTATTATTATCTGGCTGGAGGAGTTGTCCAACTTACAGCTTACCAAGAGTTTATATGTGTAGTGATCATAATCATCATATTCATGAATATTCATTAAGGGGGTTACACTTATCAAAAATCCAAAAATCCCTTAAAATTATCTGTCAATCACTTGATTTTGATAAGTGTAACCCCCTTAATGAATATTCATGAATATGATGATTGTGATCACTAGCCACTGAATTGAAAAAAGATTGGAAACTATGAAATCAAAGAGCTCATATTTTTCTCAAATAAAAGAAGGAGGTAATATTTGAGGCAAGCCTGCTAAGGATATAATTCTTAAAGATATTGTAGGAAGCAAGATTGAACAAATTAAAGATTTAGAAGCAAAGGTAGAAGAGCTAGAAGAAAGAGTAAAAATAGAACAGGTACAAGTTGAGGAAGTTGTAGCAACTGGTGAAAAATGAAGTAAAGCTCAAGCAGAAGACATAAAAGAAAAAACAAGAAACTCAAGAGTGCTAGTAAAAAGATTTCTCATCTATAGTTGGCTTGGTCTAAAGACCTCCTAAATTTTGTGCAAATTTTAAAAGTATAGAAGTCATTTTCTGCCCTACGTTTTAAAAAAATAGTTCTATTAGTTGATGGAATAGGTCTTTAATTTTAATGTAATAAAGAGATTTCATCAAAAAAATTATTTGTTGTAGAGTTCTATTCTTTTTTAAAACATGTACTTTACTATGCTCATGAAGAATTTGTGCACTATGATCATTGCTAAATTTAGACTAGTTTTAGTTCATCGTTACTAAATTTAGACTAATACTCGACAATCATGTCTAAATT